GGGCAAAAATGAAAAGAAAAGTCGTTTGCACATTTTCACCAAAAATCGCATTAGACCAATAATGACCACCGACAATCAAAATGACAGGAACTAAACGTCAAATAATGTCCCGTTGGTTCGAATTCGTCGCGTTCTTCAAATGCACTCAACAGAAAATAGCGAGCAATAAAAACTGTTGCAAGGTAAAGAGGAGCCTGTATCACTCGCTGACTTCGAATCAAAGGTGAAGGCGCTATCAACAAAAAATTAAACTGTAACAATATTTCAAATAATTTCGATTGATTGATCATCATAGGCATTCACTCGCTAACGAGTATTATGGTATTTTGGCAGCATCATTATCAAAAAACCGACATTTTTGATAGCCTAATAAGATTATTCTGGATTCACAATTTCTCCCACATTGCATACCCAATTAGATGTAGTCGGTCGCTTTTGTAAACCAGCTCCTATCAGATGTTCACGTTCTTTTCTACGATTCCGTTGGTTCCACGCAAACCTTCGCTTTTCTCGTTCGAAATACTCCGAGCCTTGATGGATACTTTATCGCCACACGGGTCTATTCAGAGCCGTAACCCACATGGATGGCAATTTTGAAAATAGACCACCCTCAAAGTATAAAACGCTCTATAGTGACCCAAAAACCAAGATTAAACATGCTAGAATTATCAGCAAGGGCTTCACAGCAAGTAGAGGACTCGAACAGGGATGCTGCATACCACCAAAACTTTTTAAAGTATAGGTACTTAGAACAAGCGCTTGAAGCTTGGAAAAAGAAATGTAGCCACATGGGGATACCGCTCAATGGATACTATCTATATAGGTACTCTAAGCTTTGCAGATGACCAAGTATTAATTGCACAGGTATATGATAATCTAGAGTACATGACACGTAAACTAGTAGGGAAATACGAGAAATGGAGTTTGGCAGTGAAGCTGATGAAAACAGAATCAACGATAATGGGAGAAGAACATTGAAACCTGAACTTGAATAACGGAAGGAAATAAAACAATGCACTGCATATCCCGAAACATCAAAATCAGCTAATGGTAAAGCGAACAGCGACATTAACTTATAGTAATATAATTTTGTGAACAGCTTAGCTTAATTCCAGTTATTTGAAGTGACGCAATTTTTTTTTTTCGTGATATTTGTGTTTTTGTCTTGAATAAAATTTCTTCAAGTTTGGAATAAAGTCTTCACACCATTAAAAATCAAGTTGATAAAATTTTAACAAGTTTGGATGTGCAATTCAACAGCTTAAGAAATCAACTATGTAGGGATACAATATTTAGGTTAGGTACAGGGTGAACCGTTGTAACATTGCAAATTTTACTTGTTTTTTCTTCTCTTTCAAATATAATTTCATAAGTTAAATATTACCTTTAATGTTGACAGGCTGGTAACTAGCATTAAGAAAAGAAGATTTCTGCTGCAAATAATAATAGCAATTATTGAATTATGACACTAGAGGGCACGATTTTCATTTAAATCTGTACCGGTTTAGTACCAACATTTTCCGTTGGCTATTTGGAAAGAAGCTCCGCCTGTTCATTTTTGTCCTTTTCTCAGTTTCTTTTCTAATCTTGCCGTTGCCCTGAGAGGTCGACTATGGCCGGTGGGGGCAGCCATCTGCCTGAGTGAAATATAATTTCGATTACCGCTCTCGTGGAAAAAGTACCTTATCGGCCGTCAGGCATTATTTTAACGAAATAAAGTTGCGTAAGGTAATAATCCATTGATTGCCGAAAAAATTCAAATCAAAAGTCTCGTGATTATACCGTTTTATTTTAGTTTGTATTTCGAACCCCCTCGTGGAAAGCCCTTTTTAATTTTATTTTTTAAGTAACGGTTGTTCATGGAATATCTCTATTACTTAGGGTTTTACCGGGGAGCTGTTTTTTTTTTTTACCGGGGAGCTGTTTTTTTTACCGGGGAGCCCACATCTCTGGGCATACAGCTCTTGAGTCCCTCACGTGTCGATACCAGTACCCCCACATTTCACGAAGAAATTTGGACTTCTAGCCCCTATCTATCCTGATTCCAGGCTAGAACCTGCAACTTCCTTCGTCCAGTGACCAAACATGGATGGCTGCGGACTACCGTACTCTACCTTTTTGTTGGAATTGAGGCTTGTATAGAGTTTCAATTATAACTTTTATTACCTTATTAATTGATTTTGGTTCTTCCCAATCTGAGATTTAAATATTTAAAATTTCAATTTTATTCATAAAAATTCTTGACACCGAGGTGATGGTGGAATAATTAATTTTTGATTTACCTCATTTGTTATAGATTTATCTTCACTTCACTTTTGGTACCGCAGTTTAGAAAAAAAAGTTATCCTTCATTAAGCATAATCAGTAATCTGAACTGAGGTTAAGGTTGGACAATATTTTTGTGAATTTGAAATTATAACGCCAAAAATTGATCAATTTTTCATCTGGGTTATATTTCTTATAAACTTGAGGATTTAAGTTATATCTCCTTTATCCCTTCAACGCTTAACCTATGATTTCATACAGTTTAAATTTGATTTTACTGATTTTATTGTTTGGTAGTAACTGACCATATTTATCCATATGATATTATAGTTTTCAATCATTAATTTTTTTGTTTTAAATTAGTTTTCTGGAAACTTTATTCTATTATATTTTCATTTCATGATAATGATATGGCCAGCGACTGGTAATGAACGTTTTTTGCAATCACTCCACAACACCTGCCAACGGAGGAGATTAAAGCCAGCACTGAAGCAGCCATCAGAGCACTACCTGATGTGGAAGCAGAAGAAATCTGTATTGAGACGGCCAACATTCTACGAAAGGCTCGACCATCAACAAGTAACCTCTCTAAGAAGGAAATAATGGCAATTAAGAACCTGAATTCAGCGGAAGATATGATCATCCTACCTGCGGATAAGGGCAACGCAACTGTCCTGTTAAGAATTGAAGACTACAACCAGAAAATTCAGGAATTTCTTGATCCATCTACCTACCGAAAGCTAAAGTAGGATCCTACCCAAACCATACTCCGGAGCACAATACAATCAAAAAGAAAAAATCAACTATATTGAAATACATTGTAATATTATTATCATTTTTTCTTGAGCGTGATGAATCTGATGGAAAGTTAACCTCTTTTTATTGATTTTATTGAAAGTGTTTCACCAGTAATTGATTTTATACTTTGAAATTATTCGATACTTGATTTTTGACCTCACTGTGAAATATACACTAATTTAGTTAAAACTTCCTCTATTGTTTTATTGGTTTACCTAGGTCAAGGTTTGGTTGAGTTATATGCCTTATTTATTTCCTTTTCAGAATTACTAATTACCGTTTGCTGATTTTTTTTATTTAGGTGTGTATCTGAATTTTCACACCCCAATATTTTATGTAATTTATTCATTTTTAAAATTCAGTGGCGCCCTTGCCATTCTGTACTTATTTAACTATCAACACACCCCTAATAATTATTCGCTGAGCAAACCGAGCATATTATTAGCCTCTTGTTAATTCATTGAAAAAAGGGGTTACACCGTTTATTTTGTCCTATCTCGGTATATGGAAATCTAGATATTTTATGACAAAAAGTTTTAAACAAAAGTTGTAGGGTTTAAATCATTCATCTGGTTTTTATTTGCGCATATACAGGGGGTGTCAAAAAAGTGTGACATCAGATTTATTTATTTTTCCAATAGAACACCCTGTATATTTTTATATTTTTTTATAGCGCTTTTCAAGGCAAATATACAATAGTTTAATAGGGTTGTTATGCAAGGTTTCGGGTATTTTCGGGGAACGGCCATTATTGTGGAAACGTTAAAAATAAATATTTTAAAGTCGGGAAACATATTATATCGTCTACTTTATCAACTAAATGTCAAACATAGGTTCATTCAATTTGTGTTGCGGTATCGCCATACTTTGAAAATTGTCGTTGTTCTTCATTTACTTAAATGGCACACCCTGTATATTGAATGCGGGACGGAAAGTACTCTACAAGATTACAATACATGGTCAACTTGAAAGAATGTAAATACTGGATTAATTCAGTTATATTGGTTTTTTGGTCAATAGTGCATAGGAACATTTTGGGTGAGAAAAACATTTGCAATCAAACTGGAAAAAAATATTCCAATAAAAAAAGTAGATTTTTAAAAATATCTCGAAAACGCGATTCCCAATTGTTTTTCAGTTTTTACCATTTTATTTAGCGGAAGAAATACTACCAGTTCGCCAGTTAAACCAATTTTGATGATAAGCGAATTAGCAATAGTGCTGAGTTAATTTAGAAAACCCTGTATACTGTCTATACAAAAAAAATTGTTTTAAAAGGTATGTACTTTTCATCCCACATTCAATATACAGGATACACCGCAGCACAAATTAAACGAACTTATGATGATATCTGTTTTCCATTGCTCAAACTCCGACTTTAAAATATCTATTTTTAACAATAATCTACAATAATCTAAAAATTGGCCGTTCTCCGAAGATAACCGTAAATAAATCCGAAACCGTGCATGACAACCCTATGAAACTTACATATTTATATTTGTCTTTAAAAGCGCTGTCAAAAAATATAAAAATATACAGGGTGTTCTATTGAAAAAATGAATAAATCTGATCTCTCATACTTTTTTGACACCCCCTGTATATGCGCAAGTACAAAAAAACAAATTATTAATTTAAGCCCCACAACTTTTGTATTAAACTTTTTGTTCTAAAATATGTATATTTCCATATACCAAGAAAGGACAAAATAAACGGGCCACCCTGTACATATTCAAATCGTGAAAACTAAAGCTGAATGAATCTTGCTTAATTATTCGACAAAAAGGTGTTTTAATGAGAGTTGTTCGTAGAAAATAAATCAATCGGAAATTTTATTAAGATTTAAGTGAACAGGGTTCAGATTCGCCCCATTTTTTCAAATTAATGTAAATCGATTCTCTAGATTGAGAGAGTTAATCAACAAATGGTACTTTTTCTAGGTGGAAGAATAATTGTTACTTATGGTACGGGAGAACTTTTGATTAGATCTGCTAGACATGATGACAGTTTACCGACGTATTCATGCCTGACTATACATGCCTTAACACAAGAACGGAAAAGGTCCCAAGCGGCAAGATTAACTGTTATTGGTAAGTGCCAAAAGTAAAGTTGTATTTTCCAGGTTTTAAAGAGAGTTAAGAACTACATTATTCCGGCACTGCTCGCGTGTACCCCTATTCTATTGTCGGAGGCAAATAGGTGAGGTAGCAAGACCTTGTTGCAAAAATTTGCCATGGTCAAAATATTGTTTTATTTATTTATTTACAAATTTAATACACCACAGAATAAAATATTCTAAATGGTACGAGGATTAGTGGCCAGCCAGCCACTCCCTGCAAGAAAGGCAAATTACAAATCTGTCAACATTCTTTTCACAGATACCAAATTAACAGAATTAGAAATGTGATTTAGCTTAGAAGATTAGGACAAGCAATCACTCCGTTGAGAAGTTTGAGGAGAAACAACAAATAAGCATTTCTTCGACGACACTCATGGCCTTTGAGACCACAAAGCAAAAGTCTAGTGTCATAAGGGACGTTACTATAAGGAAACTTATGATTATGCAACAGGTATTTGAAAAATTTACTTTGAACTCTTCCAAGTCTTTGCACATGACAATCGTACCGAGGTGACCATATCACAGAACAGTATTCTAAACAACTACGAAGTAGACAATTATACAAACAACTGATTGCTTTTGTATCTCTAATTTGCTTTAAATTTCTTTCAATGAAGCCCAGCATCATAAATCCCCTCAGAAAAATGCTATCAATATGCAAATTAAATGAAAGTTAAGTTTCGAAAATTATTCCTAGATCGTTGATAGATGATACATTCTCAATGATTGTATCATTAATGGTATAAGTATTATTCAATGGGTTCCGAAGTTTGTGGAAACAGATAGATTAACATTTAGGGATAATAATTGACGTTAGAGTCGCACGACACAACAAGTCTGTTAAGATCAGAATACAAGCCATCGAGACCAGGGACAACCATGCTGAAGAGTTTGAGGTCGTCGGCGTATAGGAGGTATTGGGATATTTCAAAACACAATAGAGCATCATTTATAAACAATAAAAAGAGCACAGGATCGATATGCGAACCCTAGGGGATGCCAGAGGTCACAAGTACGTCACTAGATGCAGAACCATAAACAGTAACAAGCTGACGCTGTAGGTGATCCATGTTTCGCAGCCATATGTAAGTGTTGGTATTACAACTGCATTGTAGACGTGAAGTTTGATCAAAACGCTGATGTCGTGATTGTTGAAAACTCTCCCTAGAGGTCGCCCGAACGCCGCGCTAGCACACTTCAAGCGATGTTGTATTTCGGCGTCAATGGTTGCATTCGCTGACAGGTGGCTCCCAAGGTATGGGTAGTGTTCTCCGTTCTGGAAAGAATAATCATTTATATAAATATATTTGGGGCCTGGGGATTAGTATCCGATGCGGGTTGGTGCACAATTTGCGTCTTGTTAAGGTTGACCCAAAGGCTGATTCTCTTCTATGCCTAGTTCAACGCATTGATAATTGCCTGAAGATTTTCTGCGTATTGGCAATCACGAAGTTATCATTCGCATATTGAAGTTCAACTGCAAAGGATCCGACCGTTGTCGGATATGGCGTTTGTCTCTCTCTTAGTGTGTCGAAAGATAACTATATAGTGACGGCTACCTTTCTCTCTCTAGTTCATTGCTGTTAGGTTTGGTATATACATATGGCATTTGTCTCTCTCTTAGTGTGTCCAAAGATAGCTATATAGTGCCGGCTACCTTTCTCTCTCTAGTTCATTGCTGTTAGGTTTTGTATATTCCTAACCTCAAATATAATATTTTTTAGACAAGTAAAGATTTCCATAATTCGCCAATAAGATAGGTATCCGTCACATTCTCCATCTCCATTTGCCTCAGCGCGAGTTAAATACTCAAACCAGTAGAATGCTTTTTAAAAAATATTTATTTTTATAAGACTTAACTTACTGGTACAATGTGTGACTAAAAACTAATCTTATTCTATGTGACAAGCTCCCATGAAATAATAAAATACAAAATATGCTTATTCTATGATTATGCTGAGTCGAGCTATCCCACTGAACAAAATAAGATTACAGTAATAATGAGGTAACATTACACTGCAAACTTGTAAGGTTATATTGAAGTTTACTGTAATGTTGACGCAGTATTGCGGCAAGTACTGAAACAACCTTAGGGTAATATTACAAATGCAAGGTTTATAAATGATAACCTTTCAGCAATATTACTGGAATATTAGATCAAAACTTCAGCAAACTTACGAGTGTAAGGTTACAAATTCAAATATACCTTAGGGTTACTTGCAATTTATTAGTAAGTTTACTGCAATATTGCATTTTTATTACAAATATATTGGGTTCGCAACTTTACTGCAATAAAAAAGTAATGTTTCAACTACTGTAAATGCTATGTACCTATACAGAGAGATTTGAGTTGCGGTGCATAAACTCTAACAGCTTAAAATTTGTGCCTGAAACCCATAATCATATATTAGGTAGATATTTTATTATGAATAAAAGTACAAGTTTTTGGAAAACAAAATAAAAAGGTTGGTAGGTAATGGTATATTATGTATATCTATAATACTCACAATAAAAAAATATACTTAGGTGAAAAACAAAACGTAAAAAGTAATATCTCAAAGCAAAACAAATAAAAATTCTAAACAGAAAAAAAAAGCGAAATTTTAGATTGCTTGACACACAGGACGAAGTAGGTACTGGCTGCTACCACAGCTGCTACTTATATTGTCACCTGAAACAAAAACAAAATCAGGGAGTAGTTCTGTGTTTTTATTATAATAATTATTCCCCGTCGTAGCCACTTTCTTTCTGGACATTACCTACCAAACGGTTTACGATATTTTTGATCCTAACTAAAATATTATCGTAAAATCATAATAAGTAATATAATAATAATACGGGATTTGTAGGTATGAAAAAAAGAGGTTACGGTTTACAAAAAAGGGGCCCCATTCCGCAGTATTTTTGTAAAAAGTATTTATTGACTATGCAAACCTTACTCACCTTATTTGAATCCTCATCCATTGTAATCGCTGTATATTTATTTCATTTCCACAGGTTCTAAAATAAAAACTGAATAATAAAAATAACCAAAAAGCAAAGAACTACCTGAACCGATCCACTACATAATCCCAACACAAACACCAAAAATTTAGCCGAGATTCGCTTTATCACAGACACAACATTCAACAAGCAGACACAGCACTCAACTCAAACGACAAGCAGCGACTTGATGGCGTCGATTTACTTTCGGTTTAGTTCGTATCCCCGATGTCGTTCCGATCGTTATTAATGGCGGCAAAGCTTTCGATTTTCTAATATATTATTTCTGCTATATTGCAGCAGGTTTACATTCAATATTAAATTATAACATTGCAAAATAATATCAACACAACTTTAAGGCATCTTTGCGATGTAACCTTACCTACAAGTTATATTTCCAGTTTTGCAGCAAGTTTACATTTGGTAGTTATTATAACATTGCAAAAATTATACCAGTTCAATTTAAATGCATATTTACAATGTTAATTTGCGTACAAGTTATAATTTCTAATATGCGTTAAAATTTCAAGGATATTCCATTTTGTAATTTATTAATGTAATGTTGTGTCAAAAATAATTCAATATTACATTGTAATGTTGCGAAACTAAGATCAGAGCATATCAGAGTAATATTGCATTAGGCTTTCGTAACATTGCATGTTCAGTGGGATATTCCTAGTATTGGCATTTTACGTATTGGTTCATGTCTATAAATCTTCCTACCTTAAGATTCTTCAACGTCTTCGTTGATGATGTCCTGTAGAATTTTCAGAGGGATCGATTTATGCTTCGTTAGCCATAAGTACACAACTAGTATAAGAATTAGTACAGATATAGGAAATAATACAATAGTACTAGTTGCATGTGTTTTTGCTGAAACAAAGTCCCTAAATACTATAGGTTCCCTGAGGTCTTCTGTGATTTTTTCAGGATACATTAGATGCTTAAGTTGTGAGTTCAGGGATAGTGAGGAAAACCACCTATTTAAAATATTATTTCTTCAAATCTCAACTTGTCAAAAATCGGTTACTGAATAAAAGTAAATGTTGCAACCATGTAATGCGCCCTCAAGTTTAGGTTTTGGGAAAACAAGAACGCCGCGCCGCCACGAGAACGGTACTGAAAGGGTAGAAGACGACGAGAACAGAGAGAGGACGCCTGGCTTGGGCCGATTGCTTGGGATGGTCCCTTAAGACCGTTTGTCCGCCATTGCTCATTATTCAAAATTTATTTTCATTTTGTATTAAACAAATTGTTCAATCCAATTTGTTATTACTGTGTGTGTCAAGGAGCGATCACCAGGTCAGTTAAATAATTATTATTATTTTGCTTTTGAGAGTTCAATTTACGCAAGTATTATTTTTTTTTCCAATTTTTTATGTTATGTTTATGTATTTAACCAAAATCGTTTCATGCTGTAAACAACACAGATAAAGAGTAAATTAACACCTAAGAAATTATGTGCTGTCTTTTTGTGCTGTGATTTCGATTTTGTGTATTCAGAGCGTGCATTAGGGCCTTGTTGAATTTACTAACGTTTTCCTACCCTGACGAGCGAATATCCTACCAAACAAAGGAAACAGATATTGGCTCAAAAACAACTATAGCTGTGAGTTTACGTAACCAGGGACCTCAGTACCCGCCACAGATGGGCTAACTAACCAAAAACTCTTCAGTATTGATTATAGGTAGTGTTGATTGAATGTAGTGTGTGTAATTGAAATTTTAGCACAAGAACAGGGACGGTACCTAATTTAAACTTTTATTGACTTAAACTATTGAAATAATGACTCGCACTTATTATTAAAATGATACAGTATGTTTCGATTTTTGAGGAATGTTATATCGAGGGTTTCTCTGCCGTTCTCTTTCCCCTCGAGAATTCTAGGTCGAGAACGGTACGATTTACTTTAATAATAAAGTAGACGTTTCACAAATTTTTCGTTTCTTTTACATATCACAACTTCCCTTAAATTTCCCAAATATTTG